ACAGTTAATGTATTCGAGCCCGCTTTCACGGCAGCTGGGTTAGGGTTTGACCAATGGCCCCGGTAGAAACGCTCGGTTTTCCCACAGCCATACCATCACTGTGTCAGCTCATCTCAGTTGAGGGGTTGAGTAGCTACTAGTCGTTTGGAGTCAGTCTTCGTAGTAACTATACAGACGTTACGGAAAGTAGCCCAAGCATTACGTATAACGAATTCTTACACGAATTATGTTATACCAAGTACGAGTATGTGTTATAACAATAACCCTAGAATATGAAGTTATAATACGTTGGTATTGTAACAACTAAGACAATGATACCCATTTAAATAAACCAGGGAATAGTAATGATAATTCTCCATCTAATAAAATTCAGAGAGAAATTGGCATTGGTCATCCGACAAAATACCGCTGTACGAAGAATTTCCACATATACCATATAAACTCGAATATAATGCGAGTTTTTATGGCCAGTTTCTTATGCAAAAAATAGGGAGGGTCGCACTATACAAAGGTAATTTCTTTGGAGTGGTTAAATATAATTAATTTTCGGTGATCGGTTGCACTACGCACACACACACAATATTAATGTAAAAAAAGCTAGCGGTCACACTATATATGAATTCGACTTATACACGAGTATATACGGTAATCTACGGCTTTGAATGGTAATTTAATTGTATTTTCATACTTTACCAGTTTTTCTTTATTCTTCTCTTTTTCTTGCATCCATTGCTTCGTTTTTTTCTTTTTCTTCTTTTTTCTTTGTTTTTCCTACTTTTCATTATTGCTTCATTTTCCTTCTTTTCTTTTCTTTTTTCTTTTCTTAACTATCATTTTTTTTACTTCTTTTCTTCTTTATTTGTTGCTCTCTTTTTTGTTTATGCTTCTTTATCGTCTTTTCTTCCTCCCTAACTAAATGCATTTCTTTAATTCGTTCTGTTCTTTCTATTATTTTCCTTTCCTTTCTTTATTTCTTCCATTTTTTTTCTTTTTAGTTTTTTTCTGTTCTTTTACTTTTCCACTGTTTAATAAATACCAATTGTCGAAGCGTAGATCACAAGGGAATTTAGCTTAAAGAGCACGCTCCTTTCTCGAGATCTTTCGAGCGCGCATACAGGCAACCGAGTGCTTGGAACAATAGAGGCTGACGGATAAAAGCAAAAACACACGCACATTTTAAAATAAAACAACCAAGAATGATTCCATAGGATAAGGAACGGTTTTACAAAGAAAAATGACAGTATAATGCTGACAGATTTATTTTACGAGTTGAACAACTCTGAAAATTGATTTTATTCCAACGTTTCAAATCTTCATTTAAAGAACAAACAAAGGCATCCTAGCGGATGCAAAAAAAAAGTACATCTGAATTTTTCAAAGAGTTATTCCTGAAGAATGATTTAAGGTAAAATAATACACGTTCAGAAGATCATTCAAAATATAATTTCATATTTAGAAACAATATTTCAATATTTTAATTCCGTCTCTTCCCTTCCCGTTGGATTTTGTCTAAGAGAAACTCTGAATGGTTTAGCTCACGAGAAACTACTCCACCATCTTTCCCAAGAACGCATGGTAATTGACGGATAATAAAGAAAAGGAATCTGAGAGTCTATGCCCTGAAAGTACATGGTATCAAAAAATATCTAAAATTATTTTTCTGAAATTAAATCTTTACACTTATAACGTCATTTCATCTGTTATATGACTTGATGAGCCGGGATCAAGTTGCAGTCTAGCCACCAGCATTCACTTCCGCACAAATTGTCGTTGGGAAAGGCATGAACCCGTCTCTTCTCTCTCCCCAATCAGCAATGTGCTAAGTAGCAGCGCAGACTGGGCCCTCTAGCCTTCAGTAACAACTAATCTAAGAGAAAGAAAACTGAAAACCAAAAAGTGGAAAAAACAAGGGTAAACCACTCCACTATCTTTCTTCAGAAGCCTGTTGCATAGTGTTATACCATAATACCTATAGTATTATAATATACTCTCCCACAGATAATAAGTAGTAGTATCAGTGGCCAGTTGGGCTCAGTGGTGCTGAGTGAGTCAGTCGATGCCGGACATTGAAGTATCAACCATCACAACTAGATTGCTGCGTCATTAACTCTTATTTCAAGTTCCTAACGTTTTGTACATCGGACCCTTTTTAGAACCGACTTAGCGAAATACAAGCCTCCACTGTGAAAACTACTCCACAACACATAGATAATAAAGAAAAGTAATCTGTGGGAGACATGATCGTCTATGCAATGGAAGGACATGTTATTGCAAAAAACGTGCTCATAAACATTTCTCACAGACATTCTCTGGTAAACACTATGATGTATTAAAATTTCCTACTTTAGATCAGGTATGTTTTGTTTGCTTTGCTTTGCTTTGCTTTACGGCATATCAACCTCGAATAGGTTATTTAATGCCGACAAAATTTTTATTGTTGGTAATATTTTTTTTCAAAATGTATTGCTGGTAATATTATTTTTTTTCAAAAATGTATTGCTGGTAATAGTTTTTTTTACAAAGTGTATCTGGTATTAAAACCTATTTTTACACTTTCATAGTGTTTTGACCCCAATTTTTTTTGTGGGGGATCAACTATTTGCCTATATCTGGTGCTACCACCCCGGGTCAAGGTGGACCTGGAAACATCACCAATTTAGAGGAGGTTCCAAGCTCCTCAAAACCTTCTGATCAGAGGCCTTGCAGTTGGACGTAGTTTATCGTCTTATCCAGGACGCGGATGTAGTTTATCGTCATACCCAGGTATGGGCAAACTTTTAGATGAGTGGAGCGAATGAAATACGGTTCATCAAAAGTCGAACCACACAACTAAAAACATTTAGATACTTTTTCGTTGAAGGCAACATTTTCAATACGGAAGACTATAGGCATAAGCTTTAGAGATAGGAAAAAGGTTGGCATTTTTTGTAAGAAAGATTTTTTTTCTATAGTATGTACCAGAAACACTTTTACAAACATTGGGAGCGAGTTACGCACACCAAAACATGGACAATAGTCCATATAAACTATGTTCGCAGATCCTTCATTTTTGAGTTATTAAGTTTAAAGAAAGCTTTGCGTTCATTATCATTCACGGCTGTATGTAAAAATCATATCACGATATGAATATCCTACTATTGTTAAACGTAACACTTCTCAGTTAACAAACTACTACACACGTTAAACATTGAAGACAGACTAACCACAAATATACACGAATGGCAAATGTAATCTAGTCTACATGGCAACATAGCGTCATCTACCGTAAACTTTCTTTAAGCGTAATAAAGTTTGCCCCCAAAGTTTGTAAAAGTATTTTTGATACACCCTGTAAAAAATGAAGTATTAGCATAATATTATGATTGATGACAGTGGGATTAACACAAACTCCAGTGTGGATTTATTTTTAATTTACTCATTTGTGCAGTTTATTTAGTGTGAAACCTGTGCCTGGTGTTTTATCGCGATTTCTTCAATGTTTGGTCGAATGTGTGATAAATAGATCCTCATTTCTTCTTCAGTTGAGCATAGTTTTTCGTGTTTCTTATTTTTGATGTCATTTAGGGTTGAGAAGCCTAATTCACCATAAATAAGTAGTAGAAAATTGCAATAAAGCTATAAAGCCCTTTTAGCTAATATCGAGTGTTCCTTTTGTATTGAAATCCAAAATGTATCAAAGGTTACCGCTGAATGTTTTATTTTCAGCCCTCGATCACTAGAAATGGTGACCAATTCTTCTTCTTCACATAACTAAAGTCCAATATTAAAAGTAACATTTATGAAGGGATCACGAATCCAATCATACTCGGAAAATAATAGTCGATATTCCCGTCGAGCACTTTCAGATGAGTAACCTTAATAGGGATCGTTTCATTAATGCAGGTCGTACAGTGGAGTAATGAATAGCGATTGAGGAATCGGAGAGCTGAGTTCGAATTCCAGTCGAATCCATTACGTCCTCTTACGTGCTAATATCATTGGATCCCTTTCTTCTCCTTTTTGCTATAGGTAAATAGCAGTACAGACCGGATTATATAGCCTTGGATGGCAACTGGTCTACCGCAGAAAGAAATGGCAACCTACTGCGGGAAAAATATGCCTCGCCAGTCATGTATCGAAAGATACATGATCGCCTAAGTATGGCACATAACTGACTGATCAAAATTACTCGACCTTGTTCTATTTTTTCCAAATTACAATTTTCTTATTGAGGGAAAACAACTTAGAAGTGGTAGCAAGAATATTTTCGTCTTTACCTTGCATGCCACTGTTTGCATTATTTAGTTGACTTTCGCGGCACGCTTTAAGAGCATCACGCGGCACATTACTGTCTCTCGGTACGTCAGTTGAGAATCAATGCATTAGACTATAACTTAAAAAATAGATATTTTTCTCCAGAGAATAACATGAATGTTTTGTGTTTCTAAAGGAAAATATATTTACATGTACGATCTTAGTGAAAATCACATGTACGATTTACATGTTCGATCTTAGTGAAAATTTACATGTACGATCTTAGTGAAAATCACCAACTGAACTTCTGAAAATGTTACTTTCAGCGAAAAGTTACAAATTCAAGAAATATTGTATTTCTTCATTGTTTGTGAATGAGATGATGTGAATGAACGAAACGAACAAAATTTCAATAAATTTTATCCTCCACGTGAAATTAGGCTTGCCATTCGGAAAGCCAAATGGCTTTCTAAATGACAAGTTTCGGAAGAGGTCGCAGTTTACCCATGATTACTTTAGGTCAAATAAGAAATAAATAACCAATATAACCGAACATAATAAAAGAGAATTTCTCATCTCAGAAATTCAGAAATCGACATTCGCCTCCGACAATTTAAATTCTTTCGGTACTAAGAATTTTCCCTTAGAATTTGTCATTGTCTGACTTGTTAGTATTTTGATTGGTATTTTAGATTTTATTTTGTCTTCTTTCTTTCTTTCTTTCTTTCTTTCTTTCTACCCTTAATTTCATCTGATTCTTACACTTTATGCACTTAATTTCACCGTTTTCACACGATTTCTTTCTTTCTTTCTTTCTTTCTTTCTTTCGTTTTCTTGCATTCCTTCATTATTTCGTTCTTTTATTTCTTTTTTCTTTGCTTTTTATTTTCATTGTTGCTTCATATTTCATTTTTTTCATTTCTTCACTTCCTTAACTTCTTTGTTTCCTTCTTTTATCTTTACACTTCTTTTTGTATTTTTTTCTTCTTCTTTATATGTGTTTCTTTTCTTCTTTCATTTTCTTTCTATGGTATTCACTTCTCTTTCTTTCTTTCTTTCTTTCTTTCTTTCTTACCGTTTTTTTCTTTTTCTCTTTTTTTTTCTTAACTTTCTTTCTGGATTGCTTCTTTTTTCTCTTTTCTCTTTTCTATCTTTTTGTTTTCATTCTGTTTTCCTTTTCTTATCGTATTCTCTTTTTCTTTTCTTATTTCTGTCTTCTTTCTTTTCTATCATTCTATTTTTCTTCTTTCTCTTTTCTTTCTTCTTTTTTCGTTCTCTTTTTAACCTTTTACTTTTTCATTTCTTTCTTTCCCTTGGTCTCTCTTTCTGATTTCCTTCTTTCCTTTTTATCTTTACTCTTTTTCTTTTCCTTATTTCATTTTCTTCTCATTCCTCTTTCTTTTTCAAAATTAAAAATAGTTTTTATTCAAATTGGTACTCACATTTTCATTTGTATGTGTTATATACATTACGTATGAACACTAATGGGTATGTCCCAGTCTTCATAAATACGTTGGACACTAAGTCGAGGTAATATGTTGTCTAAGTAGTCCACTACTAGCAGTGGTTTACCTACTTCACGCCACTGGCGAGTATTGTATTTTGTTGATGTTATAAAGATTATTATTTCATTTCCAACCTCTGCTTTGGTTGTTCCTCAATCAATAACTTTTCCTAGGTTACAACAGTATGTTTAATCCAGGTTCAACAACTTTCGATAACATATTTGCTAATCGATATCAAACTCGACGGAGTTCAATGCCTGCGATTTCAGGCAGAGAGGATAGAGCTTATTTTACTATTGAGGGGAAGATAACCGGCTATCAGTCTCCAAATATATATATTTTTATGCATTCTTGTTTATATAAATATCTGAACACATGATCACCTCTTGTAAGTTTTCTCATCACGTAAGTCCTCATTTGAGTGCACTGTAAATCCGGCCTTGATTTTGTCTAATAGATTTTATATATACTATACGTCGCCTAATGCAAGGCTCAAGAGCCACTCATGGTAGTAGATTACTGAGGCATGTGATATGGACGTAAGAAGAGGTAGAAGAAAGTGAAGCTTGTAAGGATAAGGAGGAGAGATAAAGTTTGACACTTGACGTGATGTGGTTAATATTGTAGGGCAGAAGGTTACTGTGAAAACGGATATGATGAATGAGGTGTGTGATATGAATGAAAGAGAGTTGATAGGAAGTGAACATTGTGAGAATAAGGAGTGTGGATAAGGATTAACCCTCGACTTGAGGAGATTAATGTTGTACTGTTCAGGGAAGCTCTGGGGAGTTTTCCACGAAGAAGCAATTCTCAGAAAAAAAAAAAAAGGCTCTCTGAGTGGAACTTCCTCCTTACAAATGTTGGTGATTCGATTTCGTGGAAGTGGCATGGCGTGTACTAGCGGTAATGGTCTGGCCCAGTTTATCTCAAGAGTGGAGTTGATACAGTAGCAAATGATTTAAGACGTTGCGTTTGAGGGGGAGAAGGCTGTAAAATATAAAAAAATAAGTTATCATCAACAAGATTGCGTAAAAGATTTGGCTCTATATCAAGGCTGGATGAAGAAGATTTTACTGATCCAGGACAGATATGGATGTAATACTCTATTTTTGTTCTAATCTGACATTTATATAGATAAAGCGTGACAGAAAGGTACTTTCTGGAGCGGCTATTTTTATCCAGACAATATATATATATAAACAGTGCTAGAACATGTAAAACTTGGGATGACCCATGCCCTTTGTGCTTCCATGAGAAATTGCACATTATAAAGCTTCTAAATAATAATAATCTATTAAACAATAGACATGAGTTAACGGTTTTCTGTCGACATCATCAGATTTATGGTTTGAATTATTAGCTAAAAACAAGCATACAATATAATAACTTGATTAATCCATAGCCCAATCATCAGATTCATGGTCTGAAAAATTAGCTAAGAACAAGCATACAATATAATAACTTTCATAATCCATAGCCCAAATAAATAGTTTAAATACCCTAAAAAAAAGATAACCCTTTATGAAGTCGTCAAAAAACAAACGTTACGGCAGTTTTTTTTTTTTTTTATATGCACAAATCCCTTTCATAAAAAAAATAAATAAATCTCCATAGACACGCATGCCAGACTAGGGTTAATACATCTTCCGTTTCAAATTTAGACACCCCCACCTTTCCCTGACTTGACATCCATGAAAGTAACTCTATACTGATACTTATTATTAACACCCAACACACGCCTACCCAATTTAAACAATTCGCCCTAGCTGTTACCATGGAAATTTTGATTTCAATTATTAAAACACGTAAATTTCAGAAATACGTTATTCCAAAAAAAAATTTCGCTTGAAGATGGAACAGAGCTCACTTTAACTCAATTTAACTCAAATAATTATATTGAAGTTTTCGGCTATTGTTTTGAAACATGAGACCTCTTATGTCGCGAGTTGGAATCATATTTTTAAATAATTTTATAATATATATATATATATATATATATATATATATATATATATATATATATATGGGGACTAGTTAGGACTTCATAGAGACTTTGTGGTATTATGGTGACTGTAGTAAGAATGCTAAGTAAGAATGTGTTGTTTTGGCATAAGGAATACTGTGTTATATTTGGACCAGGGATTGTGACTAGCTAGACAGAAGAAGACCAACGATCCCCACCCCCCTTTTGATCTTGTGCCACAGTTTAGTATTTTTTCAAAATAAATATTACTTTCTGGAGTGGTACAAGAAACCTTGCGTATCTCTAGCATCTTTAGCTTGCTTGATTCATTCGTTTTTTACAGCTTATCAACCCATGACATGTTATTTAAAGCCAGGAAATATTTTTAGATTGTAAGAATTTCTTTTTTGAGACAATAATGATTTACTAACAGAAGTCTTACTAATTAACCCGTCATTGGGTGGGTGGGAGTCGAATTCATACTTTTCCGGAGAGTATTTGCGCGTAAGTGAATATAACGAACCCAACGGGAATTGGAACTCGGCTCTCCGATTAACAATTCCAAGCCATTATCCATTACACGGCACGCACATCCAAGCTTACAGCATATGGTATTCCCAAGCCATCTAGATATTGACAAGACTCAACGTTGCTTAACTTCGGTGATTGTACGGGAATCGGTAGCATCCTTAAAAATGGATCGTTTATATGAAGTCTGGATTGGACTTGAATCCCAGTAGACGTTCAAAGCATGGTGCTTCGTTGCGAGTGCAAACGTTCATTGTGACGGGTAAAAGCTGTTTACGCAACTCGTCATATTACGGCCAGGATTTATTAAGTCAATACGTCAAATCGTTCATTCAATCTAATAATGAGAACTTCTAGAGCAAAGGGAACACGTTCTAGTGTACAACACGACTTATCCGTCATTTAGTCGTCTCGACACCAGACCATTACGTAAGACTCATCCACCCCCTTCAACTTGTTTTGTAATTCGAAACCCCACAGTTTTATTTACTTTATTTTAATTCTCTCCTTCTCCAATGTATAATTTTTCAATTCTATCTCTCTACTATTTATTTTTTCTCTCTCTCTCTCTTTACTATTTATTTTTTCTTTTCTCTCTTTCTCCACTATTTAATTTTTCGTTTATTCTCTTTCTCTTTCCATTATTTTCATTTTTCTTATTTCTTTCTTCACCATATATACTTTTTCTTTTCTCTCTCTACTATTTACTTTAATCTTTTTTCTCTCCCCGCTATTTACTTTATACTTTTCTCTCTCCCTACCGTTTACTTTATTCTTTTCTCTCACACTTTTCATTATTTCCTTTTCCCTCTTTCTACTATTTACTTTTTCTCTCTCTCTCCACTATTTACTTTAATCTTTTCTCTCTCTTTCTCCACTATTTGTTCATCCTTTTCTCTCTCTCCGCTATTTACTTTAATCTTTTCTCTCTCTCTCCCCACTATTTACTTTAATCTTTTCTCTCTCTCTCTCCACTATTTACTTTAATCTTTTCTCTCTCTCTCTCCACTACTTACTTTAATCTTTTCTCTCTCTTTCTCCACTATTTACTTTATCGTTTTCTCTCTCTCCACTATTTACTTTATTCTTTTCTCTCTCTCTCCACTATTTACTTTATTCTTTTTTCTCTCTCTCTCCCTACCGTTTACTTTATTCTTTTCTCTCTTTCTACTCTTTACTTTTCTCTCTCTTTACTATTTAGTTTATTCTTTTCTTTTCCCCCACTATTTACTTGTCTTTTCTCTCTCCCCATTGTTCACTTTTCTTTTCTCTCTTTCTCTCCCTACTATTTACTTTTAGTTTCTATCTCTTCACCATTTACTTTCTTCTTCTTTCTCTCTCTCTCTCCATTATTTCTTTTTTTCTTTTCTCTCTCCTCATTACGAGACGTATGTTGCATGCCATAGCGATTTTTCTTTTAAGTAAATGTCAGTATAGATGCTTGTACATAGATTTATTTAATCACATATATGACACTTTATGATTCCCTCCTCCCAGAACTTAATATCTTTCTGCGTGATGAACTGGCCTTAGTGATTTTTACAGGCTTCCAGAGGATTTAAGTCTTTTTGCATTAAGAGAAATTTGTATATGGTAATAAGTGATAAACAGACGGTATAAAGTCGGGTTAGTGCGGCGGGTGTAGTAGAATATCCCAGCCAAATTTCTGCCAGATCTGCAAAGAGACGTGATGTCTGGCATTATCCAGATGGATGACGACACGTTTCCGATTGGCTAAGTCCAGACGCTTTTTATCGACTGCTGCTTTTAATCCGCCTAGCTTGAAACAGTGCTTGTGTCAATTCAACGCCTGGTTGTGGAAATAGCCCGTGATACGCAATGCCCTTCCAATCCAACCAGATATTCAGCATCGCCTTTTTCGGACGCAGACCGGCATTTGAAGTTAACGGTGATCCTTTTCGTTTTTCACGGGACCATTTTTACTCCACGTTGTTGTAAACAAACAATTTCGCATCGCCTGTGACCGTTCTTTTCAAAATTTTTCTTCTTCCGTTTGAGCAGAGAATCAAAGTGAAAATACACTACATTATTTTTCCAGTAAATCGGGATGAACCAAAACATCGCAGTGACTCACGTATTCAAATGTTTTCAAATGCCTTACAACGTTTAAATGATACATTTAGAGTATTTCTGCGATGTCTCGTGTCGTGTGACCTAGATTATTTTTTATTAGTATATTGATCTGGTCATCATCAGTGAACTTACAGACCTATCGGAATGTTCTGGGTCTTACAGATTAAAATTCTGAACGTAGCAAACCACTTACGAATAGGTATAGCACCATCTCTATAAACGGCACATTACTTTTTTTGCTATTTCTACAGCGTTTTGTCTTTTCCAGAAATATTTTTAGTCTGTTTTTAGTTTCGACATAAAAACATTTAACCTTCACAATTCACGGACGAAGCGTATGTAAAGACGCATTGGAATGACTCCATTCAGAATAGGTATTAAATTTCAGACACGTGTGAAACGTAATCACGTGTGAAACGTAATCACGTGTTCAAACGCCAGATATTGAAAAATGCTACGGACTTTTTTTTCGAACCCAATAAACAAGAAAGAAAGAAAGAAAGAAAGAAGGAAAGAAAGAAAGAAAGAAAGAAAGAAAGAGAAAAATCTTGGATAGAGTTTTAATTCAGTGTCGATTTTTTTTATTCTTTTGTTATACATTTTTGGTGAACATTTTTTTTGTTTTGTTTTCAATTCTGCGATTCCCGAAGGAAGAAATGTGGCATCGATTTTTTCGTTGGAGAAAAACAATGATTTTTTTTTTCTTTTTAGTAAAAACAGAGTCAGGGAATTATCGGCAAAACCTCAACGATAGAAAAATCAGATTGCTTTCTTCGAACTATCGACTGGAAAATACAACAGCTCTTAACTCTCATGACTAGCAGAACATTAAGCAACAATTCAGCCCCATGACTGAAAAGAACCATACATCCGTCGTTTGTATGGGGGTGACATCTTCCTTAACAATGCATCTTAAAAAAAATCTTGACAGCCAAGGTTCCACATCAGGTGGTCCAGTGAATCTAACAAGAAGCCGTTGAATCAAATTTTTGCATCCGATGTATTGACATTTTTCCTTGACACCAACTGTTCTGTGGGGTTTGATGTCTGTTTTCATTTTACCCAAATCTTGTAAATCAAAAAGACATTGTTAAATTTTATCCTGCGTTCTACAAGTGCTGTAGTTCCTATATAGAACAAAGGGATATAACATTGGAAAGACAGAAGAGTGCGGCCATCCATTCACAGACAAATTCTGTAAATGGATGGCCGCAGTTTTTGTTTGCAGTTTTCATCTGCTCCTTCTTCCTTCAACACACCACGTGTGTATTAAATTTTCCAAGCCACCTTTCCTTATAATTTTTGCCTGAAATTTCAGTTCTCTCTTTCTCATGGAGTATGAGCGTATTCTAGTTCCCATTCTCTTTAGAATTCTCGAGTTACTCATGTATTCTGTTCATAGTATTCTTGGAATTCTGCTGTAGAACCACATTTCTGCCACTTCGAGTCTCTTCTTCATCGGTTAGGAAATCATCCAGAATTCACTGTCACGTTTTTGAGGCTCTTCTTTAGCTGTAAGGAAATTGCCAGATATTCACTGTGCTACAGGAGGACATGCATGCTATACATATCCTCCTGTATGGTAATGAATGCTGGACAATTTACTCACAGATGGAGCAGAAATTCAATGTGACAGAGATGGCAATGAATGCTGGACAATTTCTTTACAGACGGAGCAGAAATTCAATGTGACAGAGATGGCAATGAATGGTGGACAATTTCTTTACAGACGGAGCAGAAATTCAATGTGACAGAGATGCCAATGGATGGTGGACAATTTCTTTACAGACGGAGCAGAAAATCAATGTGACAGAGATGCCAATGAATGCTGGACAATTTCTTTACAGATGGAGCAGAAAATCAATGTGACAGAGATGCCAATGAATGCCGGACAATTTCTTTACAGACGGAGCAGAAATTCAATGTGACAGAGATGGCAATGAATGGTGGACAATTTCTTTACAGACGGAGCAGAAAATCAATGTGACAGAGATGCCAATGAATGCCGGACAATTTCTTTACAGGTGATGCAAAAATTCAATGTGACAGAGATGGCAATGAATGCTGGACAATATCTTTACAGATGGAGCAGAAATTTAATATGACAGCGATGCCAATGAATGCTACACAATTTCCTCACAGATGGAGCAAAAATTCGAAGCGACAGAGATGTCAGTAAATGCTGGACGAAGTTTTATAAAAAATGGACCAAACGACTAGGTTTTTTAGAAAATGGAAGCAAAAAGGAAACTTATACTTAATATCAGGAAGAAGTACTTAAAATTTCTAGGGGACGCAATGAGGAAGGAGGGTTTGGAAAACTTGATACTCAAAGGACAGATTGAGGGAAAGAGGGACAGAGGAAAGTAGCGCCTAACATACTTGATGCACTTGGATGGTAGAACAAAAAACAAAATTTATTAGGAGCTAAAAGGAACAGGAAGATGTGGAGGGCCATGACCACCTACATCCTGAAGGGCCACGGCACATAAGAGTAGAAGAACTTTTTTTCACTAACAATTAATAGTAACCAATAATTAGTAAGTGATAATTTGGATGCGATGAAAATCCCCAATTTTTAGGTGATATGCGGTAAACAGACCCAATTTGTGAAGGCTTGTACGAAATAATTTAATAACCTACCTGTTTTTACAAAATTCATAATCTTTGATGAAGATTTTTCGCTTTTCGTAGATTTGTCTTTTATTTCCAATGGACATTAATAATAATAATAATAAAAATCAAAACAAAACAAAACAAAGAACAAAACAAAATGATTAGACGAAAACTGAACAATACAAGAAAGAATTTACACTATTCACATTGTTCGGACTGTTGTCCTCACCTTATTGCCACATTCACGACTTTTCATCCATTGTACGATCCGGCTTTCTTCCTTGTGCAGGCATTCGTTCCGAGGTGAACATAATTAAGGACTGTGTGTACGCCATCCCGTACAGCTGCGACAAGAAATATAAAATAGAAACAGGCCGCCCGTTAAGATAAGACTGAAGGAACACAGTAAGGCCGTAACATGGTGGAAATAGAAAAAAATCAGCCATGGCTGACCATATATGGAGGGTAAAAGGTGATCACTGTCCTTTGTAAGATGAAGTTAAAATAATAGACAGAGAACATTACTGGAAAATACGAAAGCTTAGGGAATCAGCGCATATGCTAGGCTACACAATTCTCCTAAGTCGGCCAGGCATAGACGTAATTACAATATGGAAATTTGTACTAAAAAGAACAACAACAATAACAAAATATTGTAATATGAGCTCTGGTAAAAAAAGCTTAAAGAGGCGTTAGTCCAAATAGCTCACTGATGTCCCCAAGACTGATGCGGCTAAATATTTTTGAAGGGAACACCTTCTAGAAAGTCTAAAAAAAGACAAGCTAAAACGGCGCTAACAGGGGAACCCCTTGTCAAACCAAATATTCATAAATGTTGTTAACGAAGCTAATTGTTCTAAGAAAAAACAAAAAACAAACATAAAAGACAAATATACAGGGTGGTCCGAAAGTCTTGTCACACCTAGATAATATAATTTTCTATTTCAGATGGCTGACACGATTGGAAGAGAGTTAGTGAGTGACAAAAGTTTCGGACTACCCTGTTTTGATATATCTCTATCTGTCTGTCTGTCTCAGTCTACTCATATCTATCTATCTATCTATCTATCTATCTATCTATCTATCAACAATTCCTTTTAAGGAAAGCATATTTCCTCGTTCAGCTTTTTCTCGAAAGCCCATATCTGCTCAGTTCCAGAACGAAGAAATGGGGCTCCCTGAAAAGGGAAATAGAATCTTACTGGACTGCATGCTATCTGTGGTTTCTCCGACATAAACAATGCATACGAATGATAAAGTTTCTTCGATATTCTGTT